AACATGTGGGGAATTTTCACTTGAACACGTCTCAGAAGAGGAACCCATCTGGCTTATGTGAGGCTAAAGATAAGCGTCATACATTTTTTAAAAGGAGAAGCTTTTTAAAAAGTCTGATTAGAAAAAGCCTCCTTTTTTTTTGCTCATTTGGCTTAACAATTAAGATTGAGGTCATCATTATATGTCGCTTCATGATGGATGGAAGTGATAGGAAATATAATACAGAGACACACAAACATCCTCCTAATGCACATCTGAGGTTCTTTTCAGAGCTGGACACATTATCCAACATGGTGACAGAGCACATACTGACGTACTAAAGGGCCAAATGTATGTGAGCATTACCGGAGAGATAAAATATGCATGACCCACTTAGCTAGGTGAAGACACTCAGGACTCTAAACACTGATGCTGCTGATGTAGCTACAGACTCAATATCCAGGTCATTCACTCAGCTTTGTGTAGCTTTTTATGTCTGGGGGAAAGTATTTGGCTCTTTTGTGATTTCTTAGATTTTGCATACTTGTCATACTTACATGGGGTTTTTTTTTTTACTTTTTTCCCTAAAAAACATTATTTAAAAACTGCATTTTGTATTTAGTCAGGTTACCTTGTTATATCTTTTTATCTTCTTATGTTATCAGGTTAAACTAGAAAATATGACAAATGTGAGGAGAGAAGAGGAAGATGACATAGGATGTGTAAATGATGTGCTAAGTTATCTGGTTAATGTAATGTTCTTTCAAAGTAGATTAAACTGTTTTTGTTCTTTATCTTCGTTGTGTTTTTGTTTAAAGGCTGTGTGAGAATACTGGACATAAAAACATTTAAACTAAGACATTTTGAGCATTTTATATGTGGACAACAGGTAACTGCAAACATCTGTGCAGTTTTACTATGTTTGAGAGCCTGCAGCGCACCTCGCCTGTTATCAAAGTAAAGCATATTAATGAGGTGTTGTAGCTGCTCAGATTTGCTTTGATCATTGCAAACGCAACACGAACTATGACTAAAGCGCTGTGTAACTACTGCAAATGTCTGTCTTTAGTAATATCAACGGACAAACACACACGTAAAGAAAATCCTGACACTTCTTCCTCATTCTGAATCCTCTATCTCAGCCCATGTTGTGGTTTCCATGATCACTGTTTGGTTTGGTCAATAATTTGGATGCATAAGCTGGAGTTGCTCTTTTGCATCACTTTCCAAATTCCACTTGGATGTATGTGATCAGCTGACAACACAGGTCAGCTGATCTCACACCCTGTCCAACGCAGTATGAATCAATTTTGGGAGATGTTTTGACGTGAGTCAGCTCTCCACTCCTGCACGGCTACATCAGACTTTAGTGTTAAAAGCCCGATAACAAACCTAAGGAAGAAATCCCATCAGCGTGCAGGGAGGGGCTAACTTGTCAGAGTTGGCCATCACAGAAAAGGTTTAGTTATACTCATGTTTAAGGCTCTTTTTTTTTTACCCTAGGCACTCATTCCTGGAGTATATGTACTCCATGTGTGTCACAGTAAAACCACACATAAAATATTGGCTGCAGGGTTTTGAGCATTTTTGACTGTCGCCATTTTGGCATTTTAAAACCAGATGTGTAGAGAGGGGGGCAGGTTTGACAGCAGAAGTCCTTAAACAAGGATCATACCATGGGTAATACACTTTTGTGACTCCTGGAATAACCAACATGTACATACTTTTTACAGTATGACCCAGCATAAGTGACTGAGGTTATAAATTCATCAGGTAAGTTTTTAACTAAGGTCAAAACGATTCATGTGAGGTCCCAGAGACTTCCTCAGGAATCAACCCCTGGGGGCCATTTTAAGAAGAATGCAGTTTTAAGGCATTTGTGTGTTTTTAGATATATTTTTAGATATACAAAGACACATATCTATATTTATATTTTGTGGCACAAGACTGAGTGAATGACCCAAACTGCCATCCTTAAGGCCTCGCAAGTGGGACTAAAAATCTACATAAAATGGACTAACAGGCCCGTCGTCTTCTCATGTTATGATCCTGAATAACTCTATAAATACACCATGTGCCTTTAAACATTTTACGCAGGCTCATGAAATCACAGCAAAACAAAATGTGCCTGCAATCCACTGGTGTACTGCCAAGCAGGAGACATAAGCACAACATGACACAATTAGCTGTTCACTCTGGTGCAGAAAGCAGTGCTGTACCCTGTCTCGTTGTTCCTAGAGCCAAATCTAACCTTTACCTTTAATATTTGAAGCCACTGGAGTGTTGCTCTGAATCATATTAGGTGTGCTGCGTCATAATCAGCATTTAAAACGGAGCTAAAAACACTCCTGTTTAGATGTTTAGATGAGCCTTTTAGTGGCCTAGTTCCTGATCCTACATTAGCATTTTATTCAATTTCTTCTTCTTCTATTGATTTTAATTCTGAGATTTCATCATTTTTAATGGTCTCCTGTTGATCTTAGTCATTATTTAATTTCATTTCTGCTTCTTTTGTTGCTTTTTTAAGTTAATAACTGGTTTTCATTTGTCTGTTACTGATTTTTTGCTCATTCTGTGGTAGCTAATGCTTTTTGGGTGAAATGTGCTTTATATATGTGCTTGCTTTGCTAGGTAACACACCTGGTAAGTGCACTTAATGAACTAAAGAAAAGATCAGTGAGCAAATTCAAATTCAGTGTGCCTGCAGCATTGTTCTATAGCAATGCTCCTTCTCACTGAGCCTTTCTTTGAGGGAATGCATGTCCACACTCGCCTGCACCTGACGGGGAAGTGGCAAGGTTCAAAGAGAGTCCTATACACCCACAAAGGCATGTTGTTAATGACCCGTCCTGGACAACACCACAAAAGTGCTACAAATCAAGCTTCGTGCCTGCAGTTACACTTTAAGCATTTGTCTGGATACTCCCTGTGCATTTTACCCGAGTGGGAGAGGACCTTCATGTCAGCAAAAGCAGAGTTTTAAATTGCTTTTCTCTTTGTATAACCACAAGAACACAATTCTTTGGTTTTACAGGGCGAGTGCACATATTTGGAAAGCACACTGCTGAAGTCAGAGTCTGAATATAACTACAGCTGCCACAATGTGGGTGTCAAGCATGTCTGCAGTTGGTGGGGAAAAAATCTCCAACTGATTTCCTTGCGAGCAGATGACACTGAGGTCTGGAGTGGATCGCGTCTTCTGAGTGTGCAGATGGAAATAAGCACGAGGTTTCCATAACAGCTCTGAGACAAAATGTTTTTCACGTCGAAGTCAGTCAGGGGGCAGATTTGTCTCCATGAAATTAATTTTCACATTAACAGCTGCATCTGCTGAACACAAAATGCCACGTCAAAGTTTGGAAGGACGTCTCAGACTGAATGCTTTGGAAAACACAGGGCGTTAGATGAGTAATAACACTTCATGTTTATGTCAATAATGAAGCTACATGTAGTTAGCTCAGCAGAAAACCTGGAAACAGACATCTCTGATAGTCACTTCATTTCTTTAAAGCCTTTTCAAATTGTTTCCAATATTTATGCCGAGTTAAGGATCCAGAACAAGGACGAAGCATCACCTATGAGGATGCTATGGACAAAGTTGCTGGTAGGAGTGGGTGTGACAATTTGGAAACCATCCCCTGAAATAGCCAAAGTAAATACCAACATTTTGTTACTACTTAATCAGCAGTCCCCCAAACACCTGTGAACAATATGCGCATGTTTTTGTACAATTTTAAAGACTTAACTTTAAAGCAAAAATATTTCAGCTATTTTGCTTTTGGTTTATTTCTGTTTATCTGCAGGTTTTTTTCTTGTCATATCAGTTAAACCAGCCACTCCCCTGCTTTCAAGCCTTAATAAAGTCCAAAGAGGCACTAAACACTTTTTTCATTTACTAGTCTGTAAATAAGTTGATTTGACAGCCTCTACCATCTCCAAAAACGCCACTATACCAGAAAGTTTATAATGAAAAGACTCACCAGTTAAAGTATCCTGAGTAGAAATCTAGGTCAGGGTTGAATAACACAAAAGATGCCCATTGTACAACGCATGTCCTGCCCCTGACCCAAAATGCCAATTATCTTCTCCATAGCGGTCGAACACATCCAGCCAATCATCCTGGTGCATTGATTCAAACCCACGCTTCGTGAAATATCTGGACGTTTAACTGCCCGACACATATTTATTTCAAGGGGAACCGTCATTAATGTAAAGTCTGAGTTTTAATGGCATTTAAATCACGTAGTATTTTGAAGGTCTTTACTTTGCTGGGTTAGCTTTGTGACTGCAGCCTAAAATTGCTTGGAATTTGTAAGCCAATAAGTTTACAAACAAATACAAACACTGTATTTTTAAACAATGTAACAAAAAAGTGAGCATAATCATACAAAACAACAGTTAAACACTTATATGAGGAAACAGAGATCAAGATCCTTAACGGTTAGTCAGACAGTTTTTAAATCACCTCGATATATGAGGTATTAAGATAATTCTTCTATATTGGTGTCATACAATTACCTTCTTTCAAAGCATCACATTGCTTCGGGTAGTTATTAGGTAGAGTTTTAGTATCGAAATACCGACTACAGCAGCTTTAGAGATCAAACACAAGGTTTTACATTCGTTTTCTCGACTTATCTGAACCACAAAGCTGCTGTTCCTGCTCAGGACCCGCTCCATGATTATTGTGGACACAAAAGTTTATAATGGCATTTATCACAATAACCACGGAAAACATGGAAAAGATGGTGTGTGTAACTTTATGTTGTGTTTTCTATTTTGGAAAATTTAAAAAAATGAAGTAAAAAGAGAATCTGGGACCACAGCTGCACAAGGCCTTACAAAAATTAATAACATTATAATAATATTTGATTTTTTTAAACACTGTGAGAGAGTCAGCTCCAATGCAACGTGATACAGGAACTGAGTGATGCGTCCATTTGTCTTTTGGGTTAAACACCACCCTGCCTCATGCCCAGTCAGTCACATTGCTCACATACACAGTCACTCCACCCCTCCGCCTGCCCTCTGGCAGTTGGCAGAGTGGTGTCATCTCGAGCTCTCAGCTGTTACTGTGGCGTACCATTGGCTGGACCGGCAGCTGCTGGGGACTGTGCCAACACTTTCTTCCATATCACTTTAGAGCATCAGGAAATCCACAAGGACAAAACATATGGCTTTTCAAGAATTCTGGCATTTGACCACCACCACAGTGGATAAATACTGATTATGATTCATTTCCGAAAACATCCAAACATTCCTAGGTCTGATTGGCCGACATAAACATGGAACTAGAGACTAAATTGGTGCAAACATTTAATTTTCATCCTATTCACTCTAAAAGTGCCGATCTAAGAATGGCAGCAATCACAGTTCATCTGAGTGAAGATGTACGTATCTACAGTGCAGTCTGAGCTGGAAGCTTCACACAGGAACCCAGACTCTGGAGTCGTTGTAAAAGAAGGAATGCTTTGACAAGAGCTGTGGGTTATAGAAACCTGGAAGGAGAGAGAAAGTTTTACTTAATGCTTTTATGAATGCAATAACAACTACTTTAGCTGCTCCTTTATTCATAAGGGATTGCTCTACATGTTTGGTTTGGCAGATCTTTTTTTGTATCTCCTCCTGAGATCAAAGCAGGGATCTGTGCTAGTTAGGCAAGTGTGTAAACTGCTATGCAACCAATTTATTAATGATGCCTTGTTTCTATCAGATTCCGTCAATTCCATTTTAATTATGTAACACCAAATCACAACAGTAGTTGCCTCAAGACATATATATTAACATAAAGACCCTACAGTATTAGAAAGAAAGACCAAAAATCACACAAGCCCCCTATGAGGAAGCATTTGGTGACAGTGGAGAGGAAACGCTTCCTTTTAATAGGAAGAAACTGGATATCTATATTGCCATGCGCACCAGTGTTATTTAAGTCCCAGAAAATCAGAGATCAAATGCATGTGAGAAAACTGCCTCATTTATCTTATTACCTGGTCCTGGGATCTTATCAGCCACCGGTTTTTGGGGTATTCTTTGAGTTCTGGATGCAAAAGCAGCAGTGGGTATGGACTGCTTTGATGGCCGGTCATACTGCCCTATGTCATAGTGCCCAGGACCCGGCAAAGGAGGATCCTTAGGTACAGTCTGAGGAGGTGCTGCTATTGCCAAAAAATATCTTCTCCTTCAAACACACATAAAAGGATGTAAATTTTAGATAATAATAAAAAAAAAGTAGCAAAACCTAAACCTTGTATGGTTACTTACGGAAGGATTGTCTTCTTTACTGGGGTGGGTGCCTGATGGGGGTTGTAGGCCCCTGGGCCTGGCACATGGTGGTCGGTCGGAGGAAGGATTCTTTGAGTTTTTGATCTGAAGGGTGATGAGACCGCCTTTGAACCATGCTGGATTAAGCTGCTGTTCACCTCGTAGTGGCCTTTGAGAAGTTTTTAATATTAAAAATTCGAGTGCAAATTTAATAAGAAGCTAAAAAAGACAAAACTTCAATGCAAACCTGGTGATGGCACATTTTTGGGGGGGCAAAATGAATCCCGTGTGGTTCTTGAGAGGAAAGGCGATGTACCGACCACTGAGGAGATGCTTACTCTCCTCACACAACTGACCTGTATAGAAAGAAAAAAATGACCAAAAAAAATACACAACAGGATCTCAGAGATTACACCTTGAATCAGCTTTTATAATCAGCACACATACATCATACTGATTTGGAGCTGGAGTTATATGTTTGGGACCATCCATCTGCACAGCTATGGGCAGCCTGAAGACCCTGGAGGCTCCAGTGTTAAAGTCATATTTATTTACGAAGGAACTCTGTAGGTTGTATGCATTTGGGCCTGGAGTGGGTCTTTGTGGCCTTCTGTCAACCTGGAAGAGAGGATGAAGTGATGAAGACATTTAAAAGCAGCAGGGGATTAAAATTTATTAGACTAAAAATAATCAGGTAAATCTAAACTGAGTACTGGAGCCATAACTAACACTGATTTTAAGATTTCTTCTGTGTCATCTTCATTATAAGGCTCAAATATGTTTTGTGGCTCCATACTATTTTTTGGGTCACAAATTGCTCAGAAAAGGATCCTTTGACATTAAATGTTGCCAACTCCTGCCAGATTATTCAAATTAGGGTTGCAGTGAAGCTGAAGTCTGTTAACATAGGATGAATGGCAGGGTGTATACACCAATCTAACAATGATAAGATAACTTTATTGTCTCCCATAGGAGAAATTCATCCTGGGTCAGGCAATACATAAAAAGGCACACAAACAAAATCCACTAGCAATGATGCGGTAGAAAAATAACTTACTGGGTAAATAAGTTGTTTTTTTTTTTAAAGTCCCATTGGGGAAAAAAGTATGATTTAACAAAACAAGACAAATTTGACTAGTATAAATAATCAACAAGACTTCAGAATAAATGCCCAAAGACGTTTCAAGATGATACCTAGTGGACTTCCTGACCTTTGATGGGACAAAGCCGGTGGTGCCCCTCTTTGAGAAGGAAGGACTGTTGACTTCAGTGCTGGAAAAGCAGTCGTAGGTTCCCGGTCCTGGACTTTCACTCTGACACACAAACACCACACACATTATTTATGCGGCACTGTTATTATTATTATTTTAAAATGCTTTGAATTTTGATGGAGTTAAACTTCCTACCAGACTGATTTGAGAAGCAAACCTCTTAGCCTGGGTGGAAAAGCCCTTCTTTTCCTGATGTGTTGTCATCGCTATTTGGTACTTAGCTTGTATTTAACAAACCTTTACTAGCTACAAGATAAAAGAAACCATTATGTCACGTTTTCAGCTCAAGAATTTATAAGGATTTCCACTTTGGACTCACTCGAAGCCATCTGACTCTATTCGAGCTCCTTGGAATTTTAAAGCAGTTGCTATGGTGATGTGAAAACAGATCTATCGCGAGACTCCAGCGCCACCTGTCGGTGAAATGGAGGCGGGCTTCTTTATTGTACCGAGTTTCTTCTGTTTGTTTCCAGATTAATCGGCCATCCGTCATGGCGATGCATGCGAAGGCGACTCCGCCGCAGATCCCGGACACTCGCCGGGAGCTCGCTGAGCTCGTAAAGAGGAAACAAGAACTCGCCGTAAGTAGACGTTAAGGGGGTTTCCTTAAAAATAAAAGTCGCATTTAATATTTCACCGCGTGAAAATTTCTCGTGCGCGCTGCTCGCCGAGGCCCCGCTACATGCTAAACTAATGTTAGCCGGAGCTAACGGTAGCAGCTAACTTAGTTAGCGGGTCGACAGCGTTGTTTGGCTGATAACGTTTGATTAAGAGTAGTGTTAGTAGTAACAAGACTCCGTGCAGCTCTCTGAATATTTCTTTTAAGTGTTTTTACGTATACCGACTTCACAGCAGCGCTTTTGACAAAATATTCTAACAACTTAGCATAGCTAAATTTTAGCAGCCGCCCTGCTTGGCCAAGTTCTCGCGAGAAGTTGGTGTCACATGTGTATTGTGTACATCCAGCCAGATACCTATGATATTTTTACCTCTCTTGCATGAGGAATAATAAATCAGCATTGCGACAGACATCGCTATCTTCACTTTTGCGCGCTCACTGAATCCTTTCTGCAAATGCAAGTGAATAATTAACACTTCAAAAGGGATATATTTTATTCTTCTAATTTGTGTGTATATAAATAAATGTCTGTTAAAAGTTTACCAGCCAGGTTGATTAATGTAATGACTAAAACTCAGATATCTAACTTTTATTCTTTTCCTCCACATTCTTCACTGTCACAGGAGACATTGGTGAACTTGGAAAGACAAATATATGCATTTGAAGGCAGCTATCTAGAAGACACCCAGATGTATGGCAACATCATCAGAGGATGGGACAGATACCTCACCAACCAAAAGTAAGCAAATTGGTGGAAATGCATTTACACTAAATGAAAAGTGAGCCATTGACTTGTATTAATTACGTACAAGCCAGCAGGAGTAGGAAGAGTACAGCCGATGGCTGAAATCAAGTTCCAGTAAAATTATGAAGAAAAAAAACTACATCTAGTTGATGTTGAAGCAAAAAAACCTTTCTTTTCTTTGAGTGAGGAAAAACTTAAAATAATTTGAAATATGCCATTTTTTTCTGAGGCCCAGTGTGGGCATTTGGAGCCACTTTTGGACCAAACCATTGTTTAAATTTTTTACATTTTTGTTTGCTTGTTTTAATTTAACAGGAACTCCAATAGTAAGACTGATAGACGGAATAGGAAATTCAAAGAAGCCGAGCGTTTATTCAGCAAGTCATCTGTTACATCGGTTGCAGTAAGTCTTTTGCTTATTATTTTAAACAGATATGCTGCATAATAACAAAAAGCATTTACTAAACTGTTCAATCGGTGACATTTATACAGGCCGTGTGTGCACTCGGTGGTATACCAGATCACATGAATGAAAAGCGTGAGTTTCGCTTTTGAGCTAAGCAGCATTAAAAGTTTGTATTTTGTGGACTGGTGGTAAATTGTGTCATTTATGCTGTTGTTTTGATTTCTTCAGGTGAGGCAGGCAGCGGCACAGAAAGCGATACCTCTCCAGATCTCCAGAACCAAGAAAACGAGCCCAGCCAGGAGGACACGGAGGATGTGGACTCAACGCTGCAGGACCTGAAGCCTCAGAAGGCTGCCTCCTCCTCCTCCTCAGGCAGCCACCACGGGAGCCACAAGAAGAGGAAGAACAAAAACAGACACAGGTATTAAATAAAGGAATGAGACACGATGGGATCAGCATGTTGTTAAAATATCCTTCCGTTTTTTGGATTACAGAGCTACATCTGTCCATAGCCGTTCATGTAGACTGCTCTTGACAAGCAGGTTACAGAACATGTTTGCACAAAATTTCTGTATACATCAGAGTTTCTACTAGTAATGAAACCCCTGTGGCTTCAATCAGAGAAAACAGGGAGTCTATTTCTCATTTTACTGCCTGTACCTGCGAGAGCTCATTGAATTGCGTTGTTCACAGAGAGATCACAAAAAGTGATCTAGTATGGCTAAAATAAGTTTGCAACTTGGATCCCAGTAGCTCCTGTGTTGTTTTTTTGCTGCCTTGGTGTGTGAGTGTGTACACAGTGGGGGGTATTTAAAGGTATTTTGGGGGGAGGCCAGTATAAAAGGAGTATTTTCTCTTCCAGTAGACTATTACATTTTCTCATGGTTGAATGAAAGAGCATTCTCCTGGACAGATTTAGCTGTGAAGAAATATTCACACTTTGCAATCCTCAGCACTTACTGTAGTCTTCTCCTCGATGACAGATGTCACAGTTGAGGGGAAAACAAAAAATCAAAAAGGGGAAAAAGTAATAGCAGGGAAATGAATGTGATTATTGGGGCTTGTTTGTTTGTTTGTTTGTTTGTTGTTGTTTTTTTACTGAACGTATCACTTTTTTCTCCTGTTTCAGCATTTCCCTCTGTTATCTGACACTTGCAGATCTGCTTGTACACTTGCGTATCCAGCCCAAGTACACACAGCTGTGCTGGAGACACGAGAGTTGGTCGTAATTAGTCAGTGCACAACAAGCCAAAAAAAAGACATTTTGGATGTGCTGACGTTCTCATGCATGACAAAAGCCATCATAAAGCAAAGAAAAAACCAAAGTCGTGATATAACACAGACTAACCAGTTGAGGCAACAGTAGATGAATAACATGTTTTCTGAGATAAAGTTGCTGCTTTTTTTTCTTCTTCTTCTTTTTCTTTCGTCTGCAGTGTGACAACTTAACAGATGTCTTACAACAGGTTAATTGAAGTGTTTGTGACATTTGAGCTTCTGCTTTCAGAGAGAATGGAGGGTATTATTTTGGTATTCAGCCTAAAATATGTTGAGAGATTTCTGGTCCACATCACCAAGCTTTACAATCTCAGAATAACCTGGTTATTGTTTTTTCTTTACTTCTGAGCTTCTAAAATAAAAATAAAAAGGATTGGGTTTAGCTTCTTGGTGTTACCATCCAAAACAAGGAGTGTACATGGTTTCACTAGTAAACATTACTCAAAAGTCTGTTTATTTTTCTTAAAGAAATTTACTGTGCTTGACCAAAATTAGACGTATTCAAAGTGGGTGATCAGAGGGTCAATAAATGACAAGTTTGTTAAGACAAATTAGGTTTAACGTGTCATGTCGACGTGTTTTAGTTGACTCGGGCCTCACTGTTTATGCCTACATATTAACACAGCAGGTTCTCCTCCTAACACAGCGTGATGGGGTGGTGCTCTCACTCTCTAAAGTCTGGACTGCAGTTTTATATACTCGTAGGGCTTTAGGCTCAGGTTGGTAAACTAACAGCTGCTGCTCTCTTCCCTCCCCTAATGCTGCTCCCTCAGTCCTTCTGCCATGTTTGATTATGACTTTGAGTAAGTCTGAATTTTACTTCCTGCTCCTGTCACGTTTACATCCTGCCTGCTACTAAGCCCATCATCAAATTATCCACCGTTTCCCTCTCCTCTATGTCCTCTTACTATTTTTATTTGTATATTCTTCTCTAAATTGTTGCTTTTTCTTTTTTAAATTTTGATTTCAACTTTTAATTTTTTCTTCTTTTTTAAGTTTTATTCTTTTATTTGACTTGAATAATTTTTTTATTCTTCAATTTTTGCATATGTTTACTTTATTTTTACACCTATTTTATTTTAAGTTTTAATTTAATTTCTGATTTTTACTTATTTTTGCATGTTTTAATTAAGCTTTATTTTAACTTCGAACCTTTTTAATTTTAACTTTTCATTTCAATTTTTACTTTTTATTTTTACGTTTTCACTTTTTTATGCATGATTTGACTTTAATTATTAATCTTCTCCTTCTGTAGGGTTAGTTTGAATTGAAGCCTGCTTGTTATTTTATTACTCAGTCATACTGCATGTCCAACACTTCATTCTTTGATATGTACATATTTTCTTAAATGCATGCCAGCATCCAGCACTCTGAGCGTCAGTAAATTTTCTTGCTTGTTGATGGGTTTTCCCACAGATTCATTTCAGTTTTGCTTCTTCAGCTCCGCTTGCTGGGTTGCTCGTTAGATGACGGATTGGTTAGGAGGTTCTGTATGAGCAAGAACAATCATGCGGTCATGTAGTTTTATTGTTACCAGGCTTATTTATTTATTTATTCATTTTTAGGCTTCTTCATAGTACTGTAGTGGTACTGCTTTTCTCCATAATTCCCATCAGAAGCAGGATTTTAATGTAAGATGACTAATGCTGTCTTTGTTCTTGTTTCAGGTTTGACATGAAGGTTAACAAGAAACCCAGAGCTGTAAGTTCACTTAGACACTTTAATGTCTTTGACATTTACGTTGCTGCTTTTATTACTTGTAGTGACTGTTTTGCTTTACTTTTGCTTTATTGAATCTCTTGGATAGAGCTGTTTGTTTTATAGAGGCTAGATGCCTTGCTGTATTTTTATTTATACATTAATTAAATAAGAAAGTTCAGGTCAATAAAATATGTTTTACACATTACAGGTTGTGTTTGTATCGTTTTGGCAGCTGCGACATGAATTTTCCAAATTTGGGTATTTAAAAAAAAAATTATGTTAATCATTTTATCTTTTAATAAAATGGCAGCTGGTCGTTTAAATTCAGAAGTTTTGATCATCTGACCAACAGCCTGAAACCTTAAATATCCAGATTCCTGTCATCTATGACATTTTTGTCTTCCTTACCCTAAAAACAACTGAAAGAAGTATTTCTTTTAATTTAAGTAATAATTATTTTAGCTGACTGGTTGATGAATAACTGTTAAGTGTGACTCGGCTCCTGTTTTTATGTGCAGGATTACTCGACTTAAAACACCTGGAGGACCTGGACACATGAGGATACATGAGATTTCTGGACTTTTTTTTTTTTTTTT